TGCTCGATTGAGTTTCCGTCAGTTGCTGATCGTTTTCTGTCGGTCGTTCGTCCAGACCTGCAAACAGGTCCATCGATGACTGGTTACCTACGGCAAACAAATCTGGTCGCTGATCAAAGAGTTCTTCAGCAAGCTTCACAAGTTCTGGAACGATGTCCGGCTGCCCTGTTAAAAATTCTGGCGTATCTTCGCCTGTCCAGGTTTGGACAAGCGACTCGGTCGACTCGTCGCTACTTCGTGATGGTGCTTCTGTTGGCTCCCCTATGGAATCGTCTTCTGCATATCTTCAGGCTCAACCTGTTCCGCAATCACCTTCTGATGCGCCGGAGTATGTCGCCTCAGCTGTTGTTTTACCGGTCGTGCATCCTGAGTATCAATCTTATGAAAAACTCCTTTTGCAGCACCTATTTCCCCACTCGCACAGCTAAATCTGTCTGAGAAACTTTTAAGTATTTGAATCAACTCTTCTCTTGCTTTCTTAGAAAAATCTTTTACTAATCCATCAACCATACCTGTAACTTCTGTTAGATTCTCATATGCTAGACGATCAACTGATTCCTTTGCTTCCACAGCCGATGATAAATCTGGCAATCGCGTTCTCCGCTTTATCACCCCCGGCTGATCGTTGACATTCAAGATCCTAACACACTGTCCTTCATATTTTATAAGTAGTAACGTTCTAGCTACATATACACCCGATTCTATTTGTCTGTTTTCCGAACACATAAATCCGGTCGATTCCAACTTGGACGGCTGGCGAACAATCATCTTTGCTGGCACGTCTAATTCAGTCTGCGCCGGGATGCGCACTTCTGTGTGAGCTTCAATACGACAAAGCTTCCTGCATGAAAAATGTTTAATAACTAATTAAATCGTTCTATTTTTGTTACCCACGGCGATTTTTCCTTCGCCAAACTTCCACGAGATATGATTGTTCCTGAGCCAATCTAAACCTAAAACAATTTCTGAAACATGATCAGACACCAACACTAACGCTGATTTGGAATAATCATCAACTTTAATTTGCAACTTCATTTCTCCTTTGACTGGAATTTTTGTGTTGTTGACAGCTTTCAATCTCTTTTTCGTCGGTCTGATCTTTGTGACATCAACCATAGACGTTGGAACAATGGATACACTACTGCCACTATCAAGTAAACCTAATCTTCTTTTGCCATTAATTGTGCTTGGCAGATACATGACACGATCGTTACTTTCAATTGACTTGTTCACGTAATCTACCGTGCTGCTTGTCATTCCTTTCTGCGGGCACTCCCTCACAAAATGACCTATCTTTCCACATTTGTAACAACCTTTGAAATTCACTTGACTATAAGTTTGAGATTTGCAGGTCTCATTCTTCTGAGGACATTTGACTGCAAGATGACCTGGCTTCTTACAATTAAAACAAATTTTCTCTCGCTCAACTCGGGATACCGTTGGCTGCACTCTTTTATTTCTGAGTTCTTCGAATGACTTTTGAAGGAACGCAATCTGTCGTACCATTGACTCCATGTTTTCTGCCCCTGCTTGAAAATCTTTAACCTTTTCTTAATGTTCTTTGGTTCTTTTTCCCTAACCTTAAACTCTAATTCAGCATTATCGAGGGCTGACAAGAAAAAGTCCCTAGCTAGATGTGTAGCTAATTTTGACTGCTCTCCTGGATAGGCTAATGACATGAGTCTTTTAGTAACCATCGACAACTCTCGTAACGACTCACCAGGTTTTCGACGAAGAATCTGTAATTCGTACCTGTATGACTCTTCATGACCTCTTGTTCCAAAACGATCTTCTAGCTTAGATACCAGCTCTTGGTAACCTAAACCTGTTAAATCCCAGAGAACCTGTGCAGCTTCACCTGTTAACGAACATGACAAATACGCTTCCATGTCTACGAGATTCCAATTATTGTACCTGGCACATATCTCAAACTTTTTTAAGAAAGTTTTGAGACAGCCGGTGCCATCAAATCTGTCAGGTCGAAGCAATTCGCGACGAGAAAAGTCGTTGTCACGCTCGGCACCTATACGCGGTTGATGAACCTGAGACTTCACACCAGTTGAATGAAGCGGTTCCCGACTGTCACTCGTCGACTTTTGTTTAACTGTGTCTCTCTCTCGCTCGGTCGCTCTGCACCTGTTGCAGTTACCTAAAATTTTATTTCGCCGTGATCTACTGGACGCTAATCGCAGCTCATTCAGTCCGAACTCCTGCAACTTTGGATCACCCTGGCACCTAAAACCTAAAATATCCTGTTTGGGGATAAACCTGTAACATAAATTGTTTGCTGAAAAATCAATGCGCGGCTTTTCTTCGTACCTGTCAACAATTTCAAAACGATTGTTGTTTAAAACAATTTCATTTTGTTGGCTGGCGGGCGTTGAAAGTCTGCTCGAGGTTGATTTTCGATCCTCCTTCTGTTCCTGTGACCTAAAATCTAAAAAAGTTTCATGTTGTCAAACATGGCACCTGTCACCTAAAAAATTTGGAGAATCACCTTGGCTCCTGCTGCACCTAAAACCTGTAATGTTTGAATGTTTCGCCGGGCGACATTCGAATTCCGCACCACGCGGTCCCGAACCGCGTCCGCATACGAATATCCACTCGAGCCTTCGCTTCGGCGGAGTCTTTCCTGGCCGGGATCCGCCACTCTACAATAGACCCTCTCAGGGTCTGAAAACACGGGCCGGGCGGAAGTTTGTTCGCGCCCTGCTTGTTGACTAGAGACGCCGACCTCGTCAACTATCAGCAAGTCTTTTTCAACATCCATTATTTTAGGTAGAATAATTAAGCCGAGCCTAACTTCAAGTGTACACTTCTTTTATTCAATAAAAGAAATAAAATAACAAACAAAATAATGCAAATCAAACCTCTGTCTTTATTAAAACAAAACGATAAATCCAAAATTAATCTATTAATAATACAACTACCAAGCAAGGGACAAAACCTAAAATTAAAATAACAAACGACCCGCCTCCATATCTCAACTCGCGGCCTTTTATATGTTTTTACCGCCCTATCTACATAACGCTTTCTATATCATAGAAAATTCTATACTCGCATCTATACTCTTTTCCTATACTCAGAAAAGCGATACAGCACAGCAGCGTCGCATATATAGCATATCAAATAACAAAATACACATGCATAGAATGTCTAATAAAATATATAGATATATATAGGCGGCACGCCTCAAAGACGCAATCATTATCATCACAATCGTCACAATTTCACAAAATATACAGGCGGCATATTTCAATCGCGCAATCATTATCATCACAATACAGGCGGCATATTTCAATCGCGCAATCATTATCATCACAATCGTCACAACTTCACATATATATAAACCCATAAACTAAAATAAACTAGTGAGTTGAGGCAAAATGATGGTTTTTATGACTGTTGTTTTTAACTATGGGCTCCTACAAACATACATACATCCATACATACATACATGCATACATACATGCATGCATACATACATACATACATACATACATACATACATACATACATACATACATACATACATACATACATACATACATACATACATACATACATATATCTTACAGACACAATCCTGTAAATATTGTAAATACTGTAATAGCTTGTTCAATGGATTACCAGAGAGATCTATTGCTTTTCTTCAATCGATACAGAATAGAGCTGCAAAAATAACTGTTGGACGTAGAAAGTATGACCATGTGACACCCATTTTAAGAAACCTACATTGGCTAACAGTGAAAAAAGGAATCAACTATAAGATTTGTGTGACTATGTATAAGGCTATGAACGGGTTGTTACCAGTATATCTAGTAAATAAAATCTTAAAAAAACCAGCTTCTTCAACAGGTGTAAAATTGAGATCAGACTATGCCAACCTACTGGCAGTGACAGCTACTCAACTACAAACTGCAACTAGAAATATTGCCGTGTCTTCCACAATCGCTCAGAATGCTTGATGATTTTAAGAGGAACTTAAAAACATATTTATTTTGACATAGAAATACTTTATCGATTTGTACTTTATTGACCTTCACTGATTTCATTTATAATAGAGAGCGCTTTCGAGAAATTTCAATTTTATAATGCGCTTAATAAATTGTTGATAATAATAATAATACATATATCTTACAGACACAAAAATAATCCCTCAATCACAAGAGATATGCTTATGTGCCAAGCTTTTTACTTTCTATAATAAATTTACAGTTGCAACACATTCATAAAAATTTGCAACTGCGTTTAGAAACGTTCGAACACATGTTTTTGAAAATATGTGTGCAGATTTGTTTAGCTCGATTGGGTAAATACACGAATGCAGGCAAATTTTTTCTTGTAGTTTGATAAGAGGAATGACCTGATTGTACGTAATTTGCGTTGAAGTCAAAAAGCTCCACTGGCCGACCAAATAGCATTTGATATATAATTTCTTAAAATTAAAACATTACTTTTAAAAAATAAATTTGCCTTTTTAGATCATTAAAATAGTTTTTATATAGAACTATTTCACATTCGTTTGTTTAATTTCAAATTTAAACTGTTTCTGCAATTTGCCAGACCACCTGTGCACTGTGGAGAACAAAAGGAAATGGGGAATTGAATTTAATGGTGAATTTAAATGACTGTGCAGGTTAACGAATGCGCGTTCCCATGGAAATAATAACACAACTTGCTGACAAGCCATTAAAAATAGAATAATTTAGATGAATAAAAAACTAATAAACTACCACACAGAGTGCAAACGAAGCAAATGCGGGAACAACACAAATTTCGAGAAAAATTGTTAAATAATAATTCAACAAAATTAAGCAATAAAAACCGATTAATAAAATACAAATATAAAAATAAAACTCGTAATGAAGTACAGTGCAACTAATAGTGAAAACTGTAAAACGGAGTTAGTCCAACGAACCGGCTAACAACCAAACTGCGAAAGACAAAGATGGTCAGAAAAAGTGATGAAATTTAAATAGAAAAAGCAGCTTCGTGTTCCAAAATATATTTTCGTAATTATAGTTAGATTCATTATTTTCATCATGACCAGCAGGTGATAACGAATTCCACTTTTATAGTTTGTTCGGATGTACTCGTTTTAAGAGAGTTTTGAAGGGCGGTACTTTATAACGGTTCTATGAAATGGTACTTTAAAACGGTACTATGAACTAGTACTTTCCAAAAGCTTCAGTGATGATGTTGAGTTAAAAAATGGCGACAAGATGGCGATGATAAATAAAATTGACATAAGTGTGCTTACGGCGATGCTCTACATCGTTAATTGAACGTTAGAGAAGTGAGGATGGCTGGGAGGTGCACGCGTGGTAAGGAAGTTTGGCTGACTGGCTGGCTGGTAACGCAAATGTTAACAGTAATGAAGGTGACGGTTATTCCAATGAGAGCTATTACGATGAATTATGAAGAATAATGAAGCGATGTGATGAAGATGATGAGTGTGGGGATAATGACGATAGTGCGAGGAACATAAGGATAATGAGGGATGATAAGGATGATAAAAACGAGCTGTAATTATAAATGATGATGATAAAGATGATGGTTAAAAAAATGATGATGATGATGATGATGATTAGTACGATGGTGATGATGAAAAAGATGATGATGACAGTTATTGTCGATGATAGTGGTGATGAAAAAATTTATAGTAATAATGATGATACTGATAAGAAGGATGATGATGATGATGATGATGATACAATTCATGCTGAAATAATGATGACGCAAAACTAATTGAAAATAGATTAGCTGAATTGCATGCAGCTGCAATATTTGGTGGGGTTTAAAAAATAAGCCAAGCACCGTTTGTCGCAATTAAATGAAAACAATTTAATTTCAAGCTTATAGGATTGAATAAAATTTCTGAAAAATACAATTTACAGAATTTAGTTGAGGAATTTAGTGGAAAAGGATGTTAGTGAGACAACATCAGGCTAACAGTTGAAAGGAAACGTTTCGAGGTTGTTCACCTCTGATCTTAAAAAAATTTCCAAACTTTTAAGGTTTCTCAAACTACTGTTTTCATCAGCAAAAATTTTGTAAGCAAATACTGGCCTTAAATAAACTAAATTTTATTTGTTTTTAATGGTCCTTGCAAATTCCCTTTTGCATAACGATGACGTTGTTAGTTTGTTAACAGTAGGGAAGTATGTTTGCAATGAAAATATCAAGCTAACAATCTGAGGGAAGTTTTTGGAATGTAGGTTTCTCACTTCATATTTTAGAATAATTAAAATTATTGGCCTATGGCAGAACAAGAGGCAAGTTAATATAAAATTCAACGTGGCGTGAATGATATTATGAAATAAAAAAATCACCTGAAACTATCAAATTATTAATTTTAAAATGTCAATAAATTAAAAAAACAAAAACATATATCCCCCCAATGAATTGCAAACATACCAATAGCATTGTGATTTATCCTAAAAAATTTCCAGCAGATATTTTATAATCTAGGTCTGGTTTAATTTACAACGGCGCGTCATTCTTCGTCCTCTAATGGTATTCACTGGAACAAAAACTACAAAAGCTTTTGGTATTTGAGCTACAAATCCAATGTTTCCACTATAATTTTCTTTTTCTAACTTTTTAGTTGACGTTAACTTGTAACAACAAACTTTGATGATCGATAGGAAATAAATAAGGATACATAAATGTTAATTGTTTTCAAAATGCAAATCATAATTCTGGTAAGTCCAGCATCAAGTAAGTTTTCTTGTTCCAACTTAGCAGCACTCAATGTCGGTTCATCATTTGGTGTCGCCAAAACACAAAATAACCCATGGATAAATTTAAATTAATTGTTAAATTCAATAATTTTGCACGTGTTGATTTTCTCTTTTAATCCTATCAAATGTGGAATCTCTCGCTCATTTCAAGTTGCTGAGTTACAAGAGGTCTTCAAATTCATCAAAACAGCCAAATGATATTTCACTGATTTTAGTTTTCATCCATCGCCTCCCTTTGTTTAATGGTTCACACAACAAGACTATACAACAAAATTTTTATTAAATATGTTTAAACATGAAAACATTTCGAGGCAGCTGCAACTGCTCGTTTTTTGAGCGCCTAACGCAATTCGTAAACGTGCAAATTTAAAATTAAACGTGCAAATATTTTGCTGGGGTTTGTACGTCTTCATGATTCTGCAGTTTGAAAAAATGAAACTCTCCGCCTTATTCTTCAGCAGGATTGTTCCTTCCACCATTTCAACGTCGTCCAGACAACCGACTTCACAGGCAAGTTGACGAATTTTATTTCGCCCAACTTACATCGCCTAATTATTTTGAAGTTTTATTTTCTCCAAAAACTTTCATTTGGTGCGGTCAAATTTTAAAATGAAATTTTACTGCGCAAAAAAACTTTGTAGATAAAACTATTTTTAGTTTTGCAAAACATTTAAATAATATTCTTCAATAAATTTTGATTCATTCTGTCAATGTTTTGAGTAGAATAAAATGTTCAAGTCTTCCAAGCGTGTTTTGAATTGCTGACTGTATGGAAATGTTATTGAGTTGGACGTCTGTCAGGTTTTTTTTTCGTTCTTTGTTAAAATTTGTGCCCGATTGGAGCCGAAGCAACTGTTTCTTATTGAGAATGTAAAATTCATCAAAAGTTGTTATCGTGATCATTTCGTGTAGTCACCAAAATAGTGTCTGGTGTGATTCTGTTTTATCCGCTGAAAGTGTCAGTTAACAGTTTAGTGCACGAAATTGTATATTAAATATATGTTCACATGATTAAGTGTGTATG